GGAACCTGGCTGCCTCGTCCGCTCCACGGGGCTGAGGGCATAGATGCTGCATCCGGGCGGCGGGGGAAGTGGCACACCTGCCTCTCCCAGCACCGGGGTCCCCGGCGATAAAGGGGGTTTGGGGTGCAGGGCTCCGGGACGGGTTTCCACAGCAGGACTGACAGGACTCCGCTCACGTCACCCGGGGGGACCCTGCCCCTGGCTGTCCCTGCAGGACCGGGTCATGTACCGGAGCCGCCACCGGGGTGACATCTGTCCGCTCACGTACTCCTCCTGCCCCGGGGTCAAGACCTCCGACCACCGCCCCGTGTACGGCCTCTTCCGTGTGAAAGTGAGGCCGGGCAGAGACAAGTCAGTACCGTCCAGGCCCGTCCACTCTCGGGGTGCGGGGCAAGTCGGGGGGCAGGGACAGACGCCTTGCCTGCCATGGGGATGCCAGCTTTGGACCTTGGCGCAGGCCATGGTCTCAGAGTCCTGCCCCCAGACAGGAGCCAGGTTCCAGGGCCCACGCAGAGATCACTGCCCTGGGTGGACCTGAGCGGCTGTCACTGGAGTGACCACCGGGACCTGGCCTGGCCCCCGTGCCCATGGGCTGGCCAGACCCAGTGATCTCCGCCTGGCTCACAGCGCCAGCCTGGCTCAGCGTCCACCCTGGAGTGTGAGGGTGGGGCACCCTCAGGGCCCGCCCCCCTCCTGATGCCTTTTCCCCCACAGCATCCCGCTGGCGGCTGGCAAGTTTGACCGCGAGCTGTACCTGATCGGGATTAAACGGCGGATTTCCAAAGAGATGCAGCGGCAGCAGGCCCTGAAGACACAGCACGCCAGCGCCATCTGCACCGTGTCCTGAGGGTCTGCCCCGGGGGCTGGCACCGCCACCGGAATCCCTGGCGAGGATGAGGACATGCTGCACTGAGCACCGTGGCCAGAGGCAGGCCGCCGTCCTGGCAGGAACCCAACGGGACTGGGCTGCAGCGGAGCCGGCCCTCACCTCATCCCTGGACCAGCCCCGCTGCTCACTTCCACGTTTCCCCGCAGACACCCGGCTTCCCTCTCCGCAGGCAGAGCTTGGGCCGAGGATGCCCCACCAGACCTGCCACCATCGCCCAGACTCAGGCCTCTCCAGCAGCAGAGCCTCTCGGCCAGCTCACGGCCGCTCCAGCGTCTGCGTCTCCATCCCCCGGCCCTTTCTCTGCACACGCCTGGCACCAAGGAGGCTGCTCGGTTGGGTGACGCGGGTCCCCCAATCCCACGGCACGTGCTGGGGCCGGGACCGGAGCATGGCCAGTGTTTCAGGGCTGGCCCTGCCCTCCAGCCACCGGTGGCGCCCCCACCACAGGCCTGTCAACAGCAGCAGTGCCCTTGCCAGCCAGAGCCGCTGCTGGAAGCTTAGGCTGGCACCTCCTTGCCACCTGGGCTGGCACCACCACGTCTGGATTTCAAGGTGTTTAGACCGTTATTCCTTCCCGTCCGGTTCCATCTCTTGAAAAGGCGTAGGGTTTGAATGCAGGGAAACCCAGGGCATTCAGGCTAGTCTTTCCAATTATTTATTTTCCATATTTATATTTTTAAATAAATGCATATTTTGAGTCTTTAACTTTCTGGTCAAAGTGTGAGTCTTAGACACAGCCTGTCTTCAGGCCGTTCTCACCAGAGCTTGTACGAAAAGGCAGGGGTGCTCTGGGCTGGCGGCTGAGTGTCCCCCAGCCTCCCGCAGGGCGTGCTCCGTGCAGGTCACACCCCTCCCTATGGTGAGTGATGGTCAGTGCCCACCGTGTAGCCACGTGCCCGGCATCAGCCTCCAGAAGAGGCGGGAAAGCAGCACAGGCCGCCTCACGGCAGCAGGCGGGCGGCACAGCCGATCCCAGGGACCTCGGAGCTATGCGACCCTGAAAGCCGCTGAGGCTCTAATCAATTACCTAAAGTCTCCTACAAAGCGTGTGGCAACAGGGACTGAAATAAGTACAATCTATGGTTCTTTCTAGGCATGGTCTGACCCAAACCGTGGAAGAGATTTTAATGTGAATCTGGAAATAGTTTGGCCCAAGGTCACACTTCGTCTCTGGGGCGGCCATCACCCCTGGTAAGATCCTGGGTCGGAAGTGATTCGCTTTGTACCGGCCGCGAGGCTTTAGGAGGACGAGTTCACTGGCCAGCCTCTGGAAGGGGCTGCAGAGCGGAGAGAAGGTGCCGCACCTGGGGGCACAGGCACTGGGCAGTGATGGCTGGGGCTGGAGGGGTGGGGGGAGGGGAGCGTGGCGCTGTCCAGGGCAGGGCAGGGAGTGGAGAGGGTGGTCCCTGCTGAGGGAACTCAGTGCCCGGGGCCCTGAGGGTGGCACGGGACCCAGCAGGCAGGGAGAACTTAGGACCAGCTTCCAAAACAGACACATCTAGGAGTTGGCAGTTTAGAACGTGTA